AGGGGCTGTTTGGCTTGTGGGAGAGTGAGTGTGAGTGGAGTGTAGTGGAATGGGGTATGAATAAGGGTGGAATTAGGGCACAAAACCCTAGACGGGTTATTGGGCCAGACTTTTGGGCTTTCGGGTTTTAATTGGGGTAAAGGAATTAAAATTAAATCGGGCTCAATTGAATGGTCTTAAAAGATTGGGCTTACGTAATTGGACTAAAAATGTTAAATTTTAATAATTGGGCTCGAAATTAATAATAATTGGATTTAAATAAAATAAATCGAAATTGATAATAAAATTATTATTCGGGATCGAATTCGATCGAATAGATTTGAATTAAATTTTACAATAGCTAGACGAACGCGCTTCTCTAAAAATTAGGGTTAACGTTTTAGCGACACGTTTTTCGAGAAAACTAATTTATACAATTCTAAAAGTTCGCGGTCGCTACAAATGTTGTCTATTTAGACACATTTTTATCCATGGATATTCGATTTATTTCAGAAATAAAGTATTTAGTTCAGTTTTCACTTTGATTAAAGTTTTAGTATTGATCTCACTTAAGAAATAAGGTTGAACCAGTTGAAAATAGACATGTTTGGATCACATAACATGTAATTTTCATACTGCACTCCCATGATTGATCTATGTCATTTGGTTGTATGGGTATACGTGACCATTGTTGGATTTAGTCACGCTAAATGTGATGAAGATCGCTTTGATCCTATATCAATATAACTAATGGACGAGATTGTTTGGAAATACCCATAATAATGATAACATAATTTTGAGCTCATAAGATTGTGCACATTTGTAAGATTACATGTATGGCCTAGTGGGAGATTGTTGGAAAAATTCCATCATATGGGGCTACACATGTATATATATTAAAATGTGTGGTGCTATCTTAAAGATTAATCAATAAAGTTATCCAGTAAAGTTAATTTTGGACTAATGGGTATTAAATGTCATGGAAATAAAGTGTAGAAACCAGAATAGTTGTTCTTGATTGATGAGGGGCCAATTTGAAATAACTGAAAAATAATAATTGCATATTCAGTTATTATTTCATAGGTTATGGTTCTCAATTGTACATGGCTTTTCAGATCTCTGCATCCCCATCAACAGAGAGAAAATTCAGAAGGAGACTACGTATCAATTGGAAGATCATAAACCATTCAAACAATATGGATCAAGGTATGCTTCTGCTAGTAATCTTCTCTTGGTTTCAACATGGAGTATATTTATGTATGTGATTAGGGTTTGATAATGTTTTTGGTTGATAATCATTTTTTACAAATTTCCAACATTACATGCATTTTATAATTATCCGCAGTATGAATAGTAGGTGCATGAGAGGTAAGTTTATGTAATATGAACAAAGAATGATTATTTTTTCATGTGATTGCAGAAGCCAGAGTCAAAGAACCAAGATTGAGACTTACCTAGGATGACAGAGAGGATATGAGAAGTACCAGACTTATCCATGGTTTCTTTGGTAGGGTCAAAATCAACCTTATTAAAGACTATGACCATGTGAACTATTGTTTGATGATGAATCCTCGGTGACCAGGGGGGCCCACCCTTGTCCAAGCCCATGTCCTGTTAAAAAAAAAAATTGGTCATGGCTCATTTTTTCCACTGTCCAACCCAAAAGCCCATTTGAAAAATTAAAAACCCATTTATATAATATTAAACCCATTTCCCAAACCCTTTACCCTGTGCACACACGGTTTCTTCACTTCTTCCAATTTGAATTTGCCCATTACCGCCGACGACGTCTGTCGTCCCAAGGTATGGACTTATCTTGATCCATGTATTTATGTGTATCGGTGTATGTATATATGATTTATCAGATGTTTGAGTTTTTGTCATTTTATTAATTCTAGGTTTATGGATTTTTTTTGTTGATGATTGTTCTGATGATGTTGTGAAGAGACTTTTGATTTCTTTTTAGTTGGGACTCTTGGTATGGGTTTATTCATACATTATTCATATTAAGATGTATGCAATTTCTGTTTATATGTGTCTTTTTATATTGAATTTTTAGCCGTAAGTCAATGGAAATTAAAGAGGAAAAGGAAATGTAGATTGGGTTTTTGGGCAATGTTTGGCACCTGAAGGTGGAAATTAATTTAGGCAATGGCCAATGTGGTATTAAAGAAATCGATGAATGATTAGGTTAAGCATGTAAGTTTGGTGAAAATTATTGGATTTTATATTGCTATATGGCTTACTATTTGAAATTTCAAGAAGTTAATTCCAACTTTCATCATGTGGTTATATAAATATCTTTGTTTCTGTTCAATTTCTTGTGTTTTGTGTTTTATATCTTCAGACTTGCTATTTGCTAANGATGATGATTTTCTTGCCGATTGTTTAACACTAAACATTGAACGAGAATTTAGTATTAATTTAGATTTAAATTCTATTATAGATGAATTTTATTCTATAAAACATCGTCGGGTATAATTGTAATAGGTAAACGTTATATTACAATTTTTCTAGTTATATGTAAATTTTATTCGTACATTAAATTTTAAAAATTTTTGCCCCCCGCACCCTTCATTCCCGACTCCGCCCCTGTCAGTGGCATAGTATCTGCAATCTTAAATGATTGGTTGTTTGAATTTTGTCTCAATCTCTTTCTACACTCTTGAATATGATGATGACCCTGGTATATGACAACAGTGACAAATGCCTTACGCTTTGTAGATGTAGGAACCATGACAATGTTACTGGAGTTTGGATTATGAGGTCGCATTATGTTGAGACTCACTCAATTGGAATGTGCAAGTATGTAGAATCAGTGTTGCCAGTTACCAAACTATCCTATGCAGTCAGAACTGAAGAAAAATGAGGCTGGAAATAGAAAGAACATGTCTGACTCGTCGAAGAACTGGACCAAATGATGCTGAACCAATTGGTCAAACTACAGAACCGATGTTGTCAAAGGCGGGCAGACGGGGCTAACTGGGTCTGTTGTGATGCGGGGATGCTGATACGGTGAATCAGAATTCAAAGAGAGCTTGTGGTGGCTCGTGGAAGCACGTGGCAACTTACTAGACAGAGATAATGCAGGAAGTGCGTGAGGACGTGTGGATTCGCGTGACATTGCGTAAGCAGGACATGTGGTGGAGACATATGACCAGAGGCACGTGTAGCCGTAAAATTACACGTAGAACCCACAGGTAATGCGTGTGGCGCATGAGATGTCGGTTTTCAGCAAGGTTGGTGGCATTGGACTAGGAATTCGAAATGGGCATTAAATTTTGACCTAACCAACAATTATGAGGGAAATGACAATTTTGGACTTCTAGGGGTGCATTTTAATGTTTTTGGATCTTTATGACAATAAATTTTGATCTGACCAAGCACTGCCTCAAGTTGGAGATATGTGTTCACCTAATGTTTAGACCAAGAAATCTCATAGTGGTTTAGAAATGATAATCTGGACTTGTGGTGGATTTTCGAGCTTGATTCCGGGTGATGTAAATCGGATTGCATTCTTGCCATGAACCTTTTGGATTAAGCTGTATCAATACCCTACATTAGTAATCCAGTAAACACTTAAAAAAAACTATACATTGTAGATTTATTTGTATGTATAGGAAGTTTACTGTATGTTTGCACGATTTAGGCATTCTCATAAAAGAAACTCACATTTTCTACCTGAGTTTTCTTGGTGGATAAAATACGTCTATAAATTTAAAAGTGAATAATATAGGAACAAACCGGGTATCAATGTGAAATTTTCACGTTGTGCTACAACGCAACCGGGCCAAAATTGACTGGTTTCGGTTCGGTTCTTGTTATTTCACAATTTCATTAACTACTTAATAGTAGCAATTTTCAGAAAAACTTCCACTCTGCTTAGCCTTAGTTTTTAGTCTATATTGCTTTTGGTCCCAACTGCAAACAAATAGCTCTATACAGATGCCTTTGGTCAAGTTTGGCAGCTACAATTAACACTCACAGCAACTTGACAAATTAGTGATTCTATAGAGAACCCCAACTGTAATGGAGGTTTGTTGTCAAATGTAAATGCTTCCTGGGGCATAAAGAAGAGGATGACACTCATTCAACAAACGTTATCAAAATGAACCCATAAGAAATAACTGAGAAAGCTTAGTCTTAAATAAAAGAGAAAATCTTACCTCAAAAGTTAATTACATCTGATATTCTACCAGAATCAATCGGTAAAATAGTAAATTTTGCTTCCTGGCCCTAGTCTCTGTTAAAATAAGAAAAAAAGAGTGCTGCATCATGATCGTTTTATGAATTCTGTTCTATTGTAAAAAATACGGAAGCTTCTGGTTCTTGGTTTTTAGAACCAAAATAGTATTTTTCTTCGTGGAACTGAGCAACCATGAGTTTTCAGTCCAATTCAGTTGCTTCCAGTACTTTCGCTCACCCCTACATCTAACTTTCATCTTTCCCTTAGTTGAAATTTCCACTCTCAACAAGCTTGTGCCTGTGTTCTACCTTTTCCCGTGCAGCTTCAGAGATCTTTCAAGATTTCCTAACATTCACCCTGATATCACTTGTTGTGTAGTTTAAGTAGTCCACAATAATCATAGAGTTTAAAACATATAACTACTAAAAGCTCAGCTTATTAACCGACAAAGCTTATGCAATGTTCAGGTTAAATTATTAGTAACTTCTTGGGAAGAACAATATTGATCCCACGAAATGTGTAACTAATAAATGGATATTTACTGTGAATAATGTTTGACCTTGACCGAATAGAAAAAAAATTTTCTAGTAACTTCTAATTTTACTTTGAATTATTAAGTGTACAAAATACACACATAACTCGATTAGTCTTCTCACTTTTATTAATTCTTTCAATGTAAAATATTTTTGCATATGTTTGAGTCAACGTTGGCATGTACATAAAATACTCATGAAAGATGAGTTTGTGGCCAAATATTGTCGCTCACCTCTATATTACATTGATCATGAGGATTGTACAGTATTATGAAGGCTTTAACTAAATTTTGACTGCAAACATGCTTCTGCGTTCTGTTCTATTCCTTCTCTTGTGTCTTCCATTGGCATTGGCCGCTTCTGATAATGTCAACACAACCCAAAGCCCCATAACTTTAACGAAAGGGGCAAACATAACCAAGCCGAGATGTCCGAGCAAATGTGCAAATCTAACAGTTCCATACCCTTTCGGCATTGGCTTAGGCACTGGTTGTTCCATAGATCCATTGTTTGATATTAGCTGCAACACTTCTTTCAATCCACCCAAGCCCTTTCTCAGCTACACAAATCTCGAAGTTACTCATATATCAGATTCTCATGTGCGCATCAAGAATTGGGTGGCTTCAAGTTGCTATAATCAACTTGGCAACTTGACAGCGGGATTCGTTGTATCTGTTGGTTTAACACAATATTTTAGCTTTTCTGAAATGAATAAATTCACAGTTGTTGGATGTGACGACATAGCAATAATAGCAGGAACCAAAGGGCGTAACTTCACCGGTGGATGTGTTTCCACCTGTTCGTCAGAGGAAAGTGTCCTTGATGGGGATTGTTCAGGGACGGGTTGCTGCCAAACCTCCGTACCAAAGGGCATGCAGAGTTTTAGTACTTATATGGAAAGCATTGATAATCACACTAATGTCTGGTCTCGTTGTGGTTATGCCTTTCTTGGAGAGCAGGACAGCTTTACGTTTCATAAAGCGAACCTAACTGATTTGAAATTCAGGAACAGAACCGCATTAAATGTCCCTGTACTCTTGGACTGGGTGATTGGGACTCAAAACTGCACTGAATCTCACAAATCCAACAATGTTAGTTGTCATCAGAACAGTAGATGCTTTGATCCTCATAATGGTCTTCAAGGATATCGATGCACCTGCTTCGAGGGTTATGAGGGCAATCCATATCTTGATCCAGGCTGCAGAGGTCAGTACCAGGCTTTTGCACCATAATTAATCAGAAAATGAAAAAAATTGCTTTACACAATTTTCAGACACTAATGAGATTATTATCCTTGTTTATGTGCCAGATATCAACGAATGCAATAAAAATCCATGTGATCCACAAGGAATTTGCATTAATACTCTGGGTAGTTATAATTGTTCGTGCCCGCATGGATATCTTGGTGATGGCAGAAAAGATGGTCATGGCTGCAATAAACGGACTCCAGTATTCCCGGTGATCAAGTTCTATTTAGGTACTTTGATTGATGAGCTCTCTCTCTCTCTCTAAATGCCAAAACCTAAACAAAACTCCATTTTAATGGAACTCTAAATTTTAACATGGTATCAGAGCTTATTAAGGCCTTGTTTGTTTTTGATTAAAATCGGATTTTAATCCAAGTCAAAGTCAAACAATCAATATTAACCACATATTTCATGGGTCCCACAGCTTTTCAATCACACATTTCAAAAACTTCTATCACAGTGTACTAAAAGTCCAATTTTAATCCCCCACCAAACACCCACTAAGCTCCAACGAGCAATGACTCAAAAAATGACCATACAGATTTCAAGATTGGTTTGTTCTAACGAGCCAACATTTTGCGGAGAAATATTGAGAGACAAAATCTCACATATTCTCTTAATAAGATTGACTTTTTAAGATAGAACTTTAATCTTAACAGAAAGGAGTTCATTGCACATCCATACTTATTTCAAAATAGTAACACGGAAAAAAAAAACATGTACTCTGTTTGAATGCACATATTATGTGATATTAATTTATCTTGGACAAGCCATATTTGATGACACTATGAAGGACCTAAGTTGGTTTGTCAAAAATCTGTTAAGTATCATTATTGGATTGGTAGGTAATATTACTGACCTAAAATCATGGCCAGTTGTACATTCCTTGGTGAAAGCTTCTAATCGTTATTTTGATTACTATGAATGGTTGGATTTAGCGTGATCAGTTTCTAAAATTAGTTCAATGTGCATGTCAAACAAAAAAAATTTGAGGTCTTGGTTTTGGCTTCTTGACCTTGATAATTGGTATTACTTGGTTATACTTTGGCATTCAAAAACGGAAGCTTATTAAACTGAGAGAGAAATTCTTCCAACAAAATGGCGGTTTGCTATTGAAGCAACAACTTTCTTCGAATGAGGCTAGTATGGAATCAGCTAAAATCTTTTCTGCAGAAGAACTAGAACATGCAACAAATAACTATGCTGAAGATCGTATCCTTGGCCGTGGTGGTTATGGTACAGTTTATAAAGGAATTATGAGTGATAAACGTTTAGTTGCAATTAAAAAGTCAAGAATAATGGACCAGGGCCAAATTGAACAGTTTATCAATGAAGTAATTATCGTGACTCAAGTCAATCACCGGAATGTGGTGAAGCTACTAGGATGTTGTCTAGAGACAGAAGTTCCTTTGTTGGTTTATGAATATGTCTCCAATGGAACACTCTTTTAAAATATCCACAACAGCGAGGGAATGCCTTGGTTTTCTTGGGAAAATCGTTTGAGAATTGCTGCAGAATCTGCTGGTGCATTAGCTTATCTTTATTCTGCAGCAGCAATACCAATTAT